CATCTGTGATTTTTCTTCCAAATTATCTTCTTCTCTTTTGTCTGCTCTGTCATCCCCTCACCTATTCCATTTGTATTATATTTCTCTTATCTAACCTAGCTTATCTCTTATATTTTGTTCTCATATTATACCATTTCTCTTGGTTTCTCCGATCTTCGCTCCTCTCTCCTCTGCTCTTGTCTTCTAGCTTTTATTCTCTTCTCTTCCCTGCTCCCATCTTCCCCCATCTCCTCTTTTTTCTGCACTTAACTCTATTCTACTTCTCTCCAAGCTTCTCTCATCTGCCTTTTTCTCTCCTTCCCATTCTATTTCTTGACTTCTCTAACCCTACTCATTTTTCTCTCATCTCATCCTATCTTCTCATCTTAATATGTGATTTACAACTAGGAAAGAAAATCACAATTTACAGTCAACATATCTTATCATTTTGTGTTCCTGCTAATCATCCTCTGCGACTTCGTCATACTTCAAGACTAAGTCGTCAGCTGAAACTGTTGTTCCTTGGCCACCTCTAATGGCCATGATAAATATACCAAGTGCAGTGCGTAATAAAAATCTAATCGTGCTGACAATCAGCACATTTGAAATTAAATTTAGTCAGCTGCCAAGTGGCAGCTGTTTTTGACTGCGCCGCTCCGAGCGACAGAATTTGTAATAAAGCAATTCACAAGTGCAACAGTCGCACACGGCAGGCAATTCAGCACAAATTGTTGCAACAGACTATGCCACAAATCACAAAAAGAGAGAGACAGAGAGAGAGAGAGAGAAGGAGAGCTAGAGTCTGAGTGAGTGCTAAAGGAAGCCGGACGACGAGCACCTGCCTGGGCAATGGAGCTTTAGACATGGACACGGGACATGGGACATGACAAACTGCCGCCACTTGCGAGGCAAATGGCATGCCACATGAAAAATGATGCCTGGCCGATGCGAGACGAGAGTCGAGTTGAGTTGCAAAAAAAAAAAAAGAGAATAAAAAAACAACCAAATGCATTTGTCGAATGGGCATTGCGCCCGTGAAGTGCAAACTCACAAATGCAGCGCCCAGCGGAAAAGTTTCCAAACTTTATTCCCACCCAAAACAGGCAAATAGCCAAAACAGCCAAAAGGCAACAACAGCCAAACACCCAAACAGCCAACATTCAATATGTTTGCAAAATATTTACATATATACATATTTTTAATTGTTTTTGCTTTTTGTTTTTGATTATTTTTATGCCATATTAGCTATAACTTTTATTACACTTTTTTCAACTTACTAATTGCACATTTTTGCATTATGAAGCGAGAGGAGGAGGAGGAGCAATGGATTAGGATTGGAGAGAATGGGAAGTTCTATGAATTAAAGTTGTGCATTTAAACAGACATATAAATATATGCACATATCTATATTTTCACATGTCAACATGTATATAAAATATACGACTAATTCTGCTTTTTTATATATATATTTTTTCTTTTCTTCACTTTTTCTCTTAATTTTTATGTTCATTAAATATTGTTTGAAGCTATCTGCAGTTTAATTGTTTTTCTTTTGCATTTTCTGCTGATATTGTTGGAATGGAATTATAAAGTGTAGCTTTATATTATTATTGTTGTTGCTGCTGTTGACTTTTTTGCCGTTGTGCACTAATTGAAAACGGCAACAAAAATAAATGAATAAATGAATGTACGTGTATTGGTCATAGTATTTGCCCTAGGTAAATGCTTGCATTTGCTGATAAGCACGAAATCACAACTGATAAAAAACGACACTGTAATAGTTGTGGTTATGCATACATATATTTATATATGTAAAAGATATATACATATATATAAAATATGTATGTATGAATGAGTACGATGATGTTGTGCTGATAAAGCATACAACTTGTACCGCCAATTAGCTGTGATAAACGTTGCGAGAAAAGGGTCCCAAATAAGAGGAATTTTTATACTCGTTCACAAGGTGAAAAGGGTATATGGGTTTTATGAAATACACAGCGGGCAGAGCGCTCTTTGCTCTTTATATGAAGTTTAAGTAGAGACTTGAAATATATGTTTGATGCTAGAGGCGTGGCAAATGGGGAAATATAATATTTTGCATAAAATAAACACAAGTAAATATATATGGTTCTAAAGACAAGAAATTTTAAATATATACTATAATATGACTGCATGCACTCCCCTGAGGCTTACCAAAAATAAATTAACTGTCTTGGAATCATGAACGGGCATTAGACAGTCGGCCACATTCTTATTTCTTATTCAAGCCCAAAAAAAAGGTCTTTTTCCGAATGTAGAAAGATAAGAGATATAAGATAATTAAGAAAAGGGTACCAGAAAGGAATACAATCATACAAAAACTGTGACAGTTTGAGGCATATAGCCAAAGAGAAATTTGTCATAAATTGCATTTGCTGACTCAAAACCCTAAAATTATGCTGATTAAGCTAAAAGAACGACACCAAATCTTTGCTCTATCAGTAACTAAACAAGTTTGTTCCACCATAATCAAATGATTTTCCAAACATTCAACTTTCATAGAAATTCCTATTTAATAATTAAATTTCAACTATTACAAACCTTTAAACAATTCCCTATCAAACGAGACACATTGAGAAAGAAAAAAAAAACAACCCATTATTGTTAATGAAAAATTCCACACGCAACAATTTCAATTATTCACACAAATATGACAGCTACGCTATCAATAAACGCTATAACTAATTAAAATTGTTTGTGAAGCTTTGCAGCAAAAAAATAGGAAATAATTTTTCTTGCTTTACTAAAAGACTCAATAATATTTCTATAAATTAATTAATTAATCATTGAAGCATTAAAAAATCGATTAATAAACAATTGCGGCTAATTAAAGAAAATTCATATACAATATATAGACTTATGTATATGTTATATATATCGGCAAAATATTGCTAAAGCTTACTAAAAAAACATAATCATTTGTTTTTTTAATGGCAGTGCATTTAAAACTGTAAGCCCTGTTGCCTTTGATTAACATGAACACGCACCGTTAGGTTGTGCCTTAATTAAATAATGTTTTATTAATGATTTCAATAAATTCAGTCATTTTGTTGCTGTTGTTGTTGCCTTTTGTGACCATCGATGAGATTTGCCTTTCAGCCGCTACTTTCTGCACAAAAAAACAAAAATATAAGCAGGTTTTTCTCATTTGGCTTTTGGCATAAGCCAACGCAAAGGCAAAACCCAAAGCCAAAGCCGGCCCAGAAAACAGCAAAACAGCGAACAGCGAACAGCAACCCGGCTAAACCGCACAAAAGTCGCTCTGACGGTCGCAGAGAAGCAAAATAAAAAAAAAAAAAATATTTTTATAGGAATGCAGTAGCCATAGACGACTTAGAAATGCTCTATATAAACTGAAATATAAATCGAGGGTATTTATTCAGTAAATTTATTATAGCCACAATAGTCAAGTGTAATAGCTTAAAAAAAAAAATAAAATAAATAACATAAATAAAATAAATAAATAAAAAAATAAATAAAATTGTGTACTACTTTTTGCAATAATTTTTAATTGTTATAAAATATTAAAAAATAATAATAATAATGAAATTAATATTTAAAAGCATTAGCTGCCAAAATTTGTTTGATATTTTCATATTTTACATTTTATAAATTTTACAATTTAATATCCTCAACTCTTTCAATTCCACTGCCCCCGCATTTCCATTATGCATCATAACTTGGTCGAGCATACCCCAGCTGCACAGCTGTGTACAGAGTACAAATGCAAACAAGTAATATATATGCATAAATATGTGTGTTTATGTAGTGGATATATATCCATTTACATATATATTTATATATAAAACAAAAATGTAGGTTTCCGTTTCTTTTGTTTTGTTTATGTTCACTTTTCTTTTTTTTTCTGCTGCTGCTGCCGCCGCGTGTAAAATCAATAATTGCGAGCGGGTTCAGAGGTGACGACAACTTCGAAATGCTTTTGACCTTCATCACAAAAGCCTTTTGAGCGCTTTGGCGACCTTCCACACTGCGAATGGCCCCGCTGCGGTCCTCTCCGCCTCACCTCACCCTCAACCCGTGCCCCTTAAGCCAATTAAATTTATGTCTGTGCGTATTTTCTTAACTTATTTTGCACGCAAAAATACTTAAATGTTGCTCTATGTGGTTGTTGTTGTTGTTGTTATTTCTGCTGTTGCTCTTGCCGGTTTCTGATTTGTGCGAATTTAACCTTTTTTTTCTGTTTTATTCGTTTATTTTGTTACCACTTTCCGGCCGGCTGGCTTTTAGCTTGATTCTCGATCATTATTTTTGTTAGCCCATTTGTTGCTTCTTTCGCGAATTTCTATTTCGCCAGCTAATGCCATGTTTTCGATGTAGTTGGACTTAATTAATCAACATTTTACGGCCAACAAGCGAAAAGTCAAAGCTTCTTCGATTTCACACGCGTCTCACGAAAACTTACGTCAGACAGAAGTCAAAAGTTGAATCTATTTCTCAGTAATTGATATTGGATAATAAAATTGAAGCCCAAATACGATTTTTAATACGAATTTCGTTTGATCCAGATGAGTGTGAGAGAAAGAAACCGTGAATAGTAATAAAAAAATTTGCGAATTTTAATTATCTACATGTTCTCATCTCATATTCGTGCTCTTTAAATGGCTCTCTGAAGTCTGCTGATAACTTAATCCTTCTTCATCATCTCCTTGCTCTTATCTATCACCCTTCTCTCTCTCTCTACAAACTCTTTCGCGCTCTCTCTCTCTCTTATTGTTGCATTCATGCACTTTCCACATCAACAAGCCACATCAATATATACTATATTCTAAGGTCCCCTCGACATAGTTTTGCAGTCACTGTGCTAACAAAACTGTGCTGCACTTGCCTTGAACTTTAAGGCGAATTCGAATCAAACGAGGCGAATTGCGAAATTTTCGTTTCGACATTTAGTGGGTCAGCAATATAATAACGGTATATAGCAAGTACATTTTAAATGTTTTATTTTTTTCTCAACTTACCATCTTTAGCATTTGTTGCTGTTGTTGTTGTGGCCATTGTTGGTGTTGTGCTGGCAGAGGAGGCCGATGCGGACGCCGACGCCGCAGTCGCTGCGCTGAAGAATGTTGTTGTATCCGCGGCAGCTGAGAAGCTACGCGAGCAGTGCATTAGTCACGTTTCTTATTGTCGCTGTAGTTGTAATTGTCGTAGCTGCGGCGGCTGCTGCTGCTATTGCTGCAGCGGCTGCTGCTGTTCTGGTTGTAGTTATTGTTATTCCTGTTGTTGTTGTTGTTTTTGTTGTCGCAGACGGCGACGAACTTGAACTCGCAGCCGTTGCCGTTGCGCCGCGCTGATAAGAACTTGTGGCGAAAAACGCTCGACAATAACCGTTAGCAACGCACACACACATGCATAAATCAACAACAAGAGAAGCGCGCGCGACTGTATGTGTGTGTGTGTGTAAGAGCGAGAGCAGGAAGCAGCACAATGCACGGGACTAAAAACGCAAACAAAGGCAAATACAAGAACACGCAACCAGATAATAATTTCTTTTACGATTTTTGTTTTGTACTTTTCTATTTTACTTTAATGGTTTATTCGTGGCAGCAGTAAGAAGCGAAACGAAAAACACAAGAAACGCCAATTGGGGCAACAGCAACTGCACTTTAATTGATTATTTGTATTTCATTTAATTTCATTTTCTTTATCAGATTTATTTAACATATACGAAAATTAACAGAGCCAACAACGTCGACTGCGACCGCGACCGCGACGTCAAGTGCTGGCGATCCCGTTGATTGCAAGCCCAATGCTTTTGTTGTTGCTGCTGTCACACGCACGCACGCACACATACAAACACAAGCAGCACACACACAAACACACGCGAGTTTACGAGCAGCAAGCACATGAACAACAGTTGTTGTTGTTGCTGTTGCTGTTCTTGTTTATTTGGTTTATTTTTTGAAGCCGCATCGAGTTTTTTAATAATTTAATTATTTTGTCTTGAACACGCGCTTAATTAATTATTGTTATTATTGGCACTTTTGTTGCTTGCTGCGCTTGCTTAATTGGTTCTTCTTGTTGTTGTTATTGCTGCCGTATCTGCTTCTCTTGTTGGTGTGGGCGCACGCAGCACTGCGGTTATTGTTGCTACTGCCGCTGCTGCTGCTAATGTCTACGCGCACTTCACTTTCGCGTTGCGTTCTAACACACGCGGCTTACGCACACATTTTTTTACACATTGCACATGATTTATACAATTTATTTATTTATTTAACAATTATACTGAGGCGAACGCGCGGCGTTGATACCTATCGATAGTTTTGCAGCCTCTAACTAGAGAAGGGGACGGTAGCAAACTGGCTGTTGTTTGCTCAACGTGACTGCGATGCTAATGTAAATATGCGCTCTTATGTTAAGTTATGTATGCTGTTAAGTATCGATAGCTTGCTATGTAAAGGCGGCGATATTTTTGAGTGACCATTTATTTACTAATCTTTTAAATTTGAATGTGGCATCAGCAGAATTTTTTTTATTTCTTGCACACTTGTTTTAGCTACAGGAATATATTTAATAAATACTGTTTTCTTATTACGAGAAGCAATAGACACTGCAGTCAATAAGAACTAAAGGTCGTATCAGCCAATTAATAGCCGAATATACACTTTTCTTCTTAACTTAACAGAACCATTTTGAGTTTAGCATTTGCGGCACTGAACAATTAATGCCAATATATTTGATATAATATATGATATGGCATTATAGTATTTATCGTTTGGCATTATCAGTTCTGAATTTTGAATTTTATTAATTTGCGTTTATAATTTATTAGTTTTTAAATTTATTAACGCCATCACAGCGCGCACATTTAACAGTTTACGGCTTACAGCATACGCCGTGCATATCAGCTTTTGATAGTTAGCTATCAATGACACTGTTAAGCTGCTTGCTATGGCAAAGCAAACCCTACTGCTGATGTCCGTTAAATCGAAATTTAAATATTTACAAGTTTTATGTTGAATTTGTGCTATAAATTAACACCTCTTTGTTATATTTTAAGCTTATGCCAGTCAATTGGGCATTACCTGTGACTGCATATTCCCTACACTTCAACTAAAATCTCTTTGTTCAATCGCAATTTGTGCTCAATTTTTTGGCACAACTTTTTTATTTATTAGCCCCACAAATGTTTTTTTATTTATTTTTTTTTCCGTATTTGCTTACTGACCTTGACAACTGAAGTACAAACAAAAATATGGCACAAATATTGCGACAACAACAACAATAATAGCAATATTGAAAATTCCATGTCAAAAATTTGCGCTTGTTGTTGTTGTAGAGATCTGTTGACGCCTTCCCATTTTGACGTTATTTGCATGTGCTTTCATTGTTGTTGTTGTTGTTGTTGCCATTGTTGATATTGTTTATAATTCGTAGACCGCACGACTGTCAAGTGAAAGTTGCCACCGTTTGCTCACGGGCCACGCCCCATCAAAAATAAACCGCCCACAGAGCTGATGCGTGTCTGGGCGTCAAGTGAAATATGTGAGCGAGGTGTTAATTTCATTTAACAATTATTTTAGCCCGTTTTTTTATTCACCTTTGTCAATTGTATTATTGCATAATGTTTGAACGACATTTGTGGCCAAGAGAGTGTGTGTGTATATATACACACATACATACATACATATATGTACATAAAATTTCAGTGAGCCAAGTTAATAGCGCACATTAAAATCAAGTTAATGGCAAATACAAATAAACTCGAACTTGTTCTGCTTGTTGCGGAAATCAATTAAGAGACGCACAAAACGAGCCAACAGCAGCACCACCAGCACCACCACCAGCACCACCATCAACAACAAGTCTATAAAAAATCAAAGCTAATGTCAATGTCCTTTAGCCTGGCTCTGGCTTTGCTTTTAAAGGGCCAACGTGCAAACGAGTTCCTCCATAATTGTCCAATTGGACTGCCGTCTGATTGGCTTGCCAATTGGACTCGCTGGCAATCTGGTCAAGTTCAGCTAACAACAGTTTTCGTTGCCAGTAAGAGCTCTCCACAAATTTTCTCTTCTTTGTTGCGCCACGCCCCCACGCGTGACGCCCATTGACCCATTTAACTAGATTTTAGTTGGAAATGCATCTGCATCATTTGCATAATTTAGTTTTCTTCTTCTTCTTCTTCTTGACTAATAAATTACTAATGGGCTTCTATTGTCTTCATATGAGGGAAATTGAAAAAACGCATCGAATTGGATGCAGAGCTTCCAATTTGATGGCGATGATTCTGATTCGAAAACCCTTCTACAGTCGCTGCAGCTAAAAGCTAATTGGATCTAAAAATAGCCAGCACTTCGAGCTGGTTTGCTTCGTGTTTGGCCAACAAAACTCGTTTCAAAGAACCAACGAAGACCCAAAGAAGAGCCAAAGACTTTCTTGTAAGCATCTTGTCCATCTGCATCTGGATCTGCTGCTGCTGCTGCAGCATCTTCTTCTTCTTCTTCGTCTTCTTCTTCGGTTGCTGCTGCTGCTGCATCGAGAGTGAAAAACTGGCGTGTGCAGCGGCGGGCGGAGGTGGGTGGCTGGCTGACTGGCTGACTGTCTGGAAAATATGCTGAGATCTCTGGTCCGATCGATAAAAGGCATTCAAACCAGTTGCATAGTGGGACAAAATACGTGCTCAACGAGCACCACATACAAAGAGCGCACAATGTTGGATCTGCTGTAAAATTAATCGACGATCGTTAATGCCCAGAACAAGCTGGCGCAGTGTACGGCCCAATCGTGGCGAATATCAAATACCCTGCTGGCTGTGGGTGAAGAAATCGCGTTAAGTGATCTTCATTATGAATATTGATAGGGTATTTGAAAGTTTAAATAGGCATATTTCAGCATATCTAATGGGCATCATCATGACATCAAATTTAAAAAAACTAAGTATTAGAGCAAAGCAATCATCTATAGTGTTATCCATAATGTTATAATATTCATTGCGCATATAACATAATATATACATTATATAATATTCATACATCATATAATGTTCATTGTACATAATACATAATGCATACTTCATATTGTTAACAACTTAACAATTCATTGTCATAATCATTACTATTACTATTATTGCTTAAGGTCATTCAAATTGTTATTATTATTGTGATTATCATAATGTTTTCATAAGCATTAGTATTAGCATTCGCATTGTCAGTAAATTGGTTTTCTTAGTCATTAGTATTAGCATTGAGAGGAGTAGTCTAATCAGTTATATTAGCATATGATGATTTTTCTAATTAATTTGTACTTTATTATTATTTGTAATTTAATTAATTAAAATTAATGCCCATTAAACAATAATAATATTGAATATTACATTAGCATTCTCATTAGTCCAATATGTCATATACATTACTATAAGAATTAGCCATAGTATTGATGCTGGTATTAATGTAAGTGCTTGCATTATTAGTCATTAGCCTTAGTATTAGCAATAGCATTAGCAATGGCATTAGCAATAGCATTAGCATTGCCATTATCATTTACATTCTTCTTATAGACATTAATATTGTAATCAGTCAATAAAATCAGCCCATTAATATGTATTTCCATTAGAATTATCATTATCATTGACATTGCCAATAGCAATGATCATTAGCAAATTCATTAACAAAATGAATTTCTTTTCCTATTATAGTCATTAATTGTTAATTAATAAATCATACTAAATAAATATGAGAAGCATTTCGATGATATCTATCATAATATCTATGATAAGCATTAGCATCTCTTCAATCTTATCATACATATGATCATATTTTACTTACAATATTATTATCGCATTATCATTTGTATTATCATACTTAGTCTTAGCCTTGTCTAAGCCAGCACTAAGCCATCCACTCGCTCAATACCCTAACTAAAAAACGACGGCCAGAAATAGAATTTCGCTCCTACCGCTTATCAAATTAATGATCTCTAATTTTAGCCACATGGCTACAGGCCCTGGCCGTCGCTCGTAAAAGACAAGCAAACCCACTCAGGCTCCAATCGATCTATTAATTAACCACAACTACAACTACAAAAATACAGTGAAGAAGAAGAAGCAGTGTAACCTTGATCGGTACAATTTCTAGAATCGGCCACGCCCCGCCGCCCATAACAAGTACAGCTCCTTAGAATTGGCCAATTATGGTGGCTGCAATGCAAAGGGCCAACTGCAATGCCGTCCTCACCTTCGCCTGCAGCAGTTCAATGACATTTAGCACAAAGAATTGGCATCGTCTTCACTCGATCTTCGGTGTTTTTGCCGTTGCTGTCGCCGTCGCCGTCGCCGTCGACGCCCGCTGCGGCGTCACTGGCAGCGGCAGCGGCAGCGTCGGCGTCGGCGTCGACATCGACGCGTGTATAAATGCGTCGAGGCTGAAGAAATTTCACACAGTCGTTGCCGTGAGGCGCTTGCGTACATCAAGCTCAGCAGTTGGAAGCCGAAGAAGAAGAAGAAGAAGAAGCAGTAGCAACAGTAGCAGCAGCAGCAGCAAACGAAGAGCAAAGAGAAAATGAAGGCAATTGCTTTGGTGTTACTCTGCCTGGCGCTGGGCAGCCAGGGACGTGTGCTGCAGCCAGCGGCGAGGGAGGCGCTCGACATACCCGTGGCCATAGTCAAGGAGGAGCCGCAGCAGCTGATCAAGGAGGAGCCGAAACTGGAGCAGGAGCCGAAGGAGGAGAAACAAGTGGAACAGGAGAAGCAAGTGGAGCAGGAGAAGCAAGTGGAGCAGGAGAAACCAGTGGAACAGGTGGAACAGCAGGAGCAGCAGGAGCAGGAAGCCAAGACGCAGCTGCCTCAGGCTGAGCCAGAGCTCAAAACTGAGCTGCCCAAAATTGAGGAAGAGCAGAAGCAGGAGAAGGAACCCGCAGAACCTCAACCCGCAGAGCCTCAACCCGCAGAGCCTCAACCCGCAGAGCCTCAAGCCGAAGCACAGCCCATTCTCAAGTCGCAGCCTCTGGAGGCCGCTGCAGAGCTAGTTGAGTCTGTGCCCGCTGAGCCAGTGGAGCAGCAGCAGCAGCAGCAAATTGACGATGCCGTGCCACACGTTCGCCAAGCCACCCAGGCCACGCCCACCCAGCAGAGCAGCACGCAGCAGAACTTTGTGCAGCAACTGATCCAGAACTCGCCCATTGGCCAATTCCTGAACCAGTTCAACGGACAGCAGCAGCAGCAGCAGCCGGCAGTTCAGGCTGATCAGGTGGCCACGCCCGCACCCACGCAGCCCGGTTTTCTGAATCCCAGTGCGGCCATCACCACCGCCCAGAATGCGGTGCAGAGTGTGGTCAACAGCACCACGCAGGCCTTCCAGGGCATTCAGCAGTTCGCCACGAATCTGGGCACACAGTTCCAGAACACGCTGTCGGGGCTGACGGGCCAGCAGCAGCAGAGCGCCCAGCCGACCACAGTGCGCCCGCCCGGACCCATTCAGGCCTTTGTGAACAATGTCTTTGGGGGCGGCAACAATGCAACGGGTGCGGCTGCAGCACAGCCACAGCAGACGGGTCCGCTGCAGGGCATCATCAATTTCCTGGGCGGCAATCGGCCACAGAATACACCCGCTGCGCCAGCCGCGCCCGCTGTCACCGAGGCGCCCGCCAAGCCCGCTGTGGCCGACAAGCTGGAGCTGGACAACGAGGTGGCCGAGCAGCCCGCCGAGTCCGAGAACGAAGTGAGGAGCAGCGCCGAGGCCACCGACGACTCCTTCGAGGAGGCGGTGCCCGCCAACGAGGTCATCGTGGTCAACGACGACGCTGGCGCCGAGCGTGTGCCCAGCAACAACTCCGTTGAGCCAGAGATCGATCCCGAGCTCGCTGCCGCTGCCACTGAGGATGGAGCCGTTGCTCTCTGAGCGCCACTTGCTCAACTCAGCTCCAATTCTTGCAGCTCGCCACGTAGCATTGACTGAAGCCATTTTCATCGCCATTTTTCAATCCACAGAGAGAGAAAAAAAAAGAATCAAAAATGATAAAGAAACAGAAAAAGAGAAGAGAGAGAGAGAGAAAGCAAACGAAAAAAAACTTTCCATAGTTGTTTAAGTGCATGCAAACAAATTATTTATTTCATTTTCGCAGGAATTTATTTTTTAAATAAAAACAAAACATGATACAAATATATAAAAAAGACTTTGAATTTCTCAGTTTTACAAGAATTTATTTTTTATTAGAGATAAAAAATATAAATAAAAAATCTATATATCTATATAACATATAAAATAAATATAAATATATATTTTTTATATTTTTATTTTTGCAGAAATTTATTTTTAAATAAAAACCATAGATATTATTATTAAAAAAAAGAAAATAAGTAAAATATAATAAAGGTAATAATAAAAATAATACAAAAATTTTTGTTTATTACTTATTATTATTATTATTATTTTTTTTTTTATTTTATTTTATTTTATTTTATTTTATTTTTTGAAAATATATATTTTCACTTCATTTTTATTTAATTTTATTTATTTATTTTATTTTATTTTATTTTATTTATTTATTTATTTTTTTTTTTTATTTATGAACATATTATTTTCCTCAAATATTTTATTTGCGCTTGAATTTATTTATTTTTATCAATTTTTTTTAGTATTCCCCATATACCTCTTTAACACAAATATGTATTTTAAACATACATATATATGTATATAATTTATATGAAAATAAAAACACCCATTTCTTTTTGTCAAAAATTATTTCGTATTTATTTAATTTGTTTCGCTTTTTGTTTAGTTGTTACACATTAAGGTGGTTCGATAGCTCAAAAATTGTTTATATCAAACTAGGCGCAAAATATTGTACACTCATATATATATATAGTATAATCATTATATTATATAAGGCTAGATTAGGATGGGAGCTTACAAAATAAATACTCAGCAAAAAACCACTTAGAACTAAGCTGGGAGTGCGGGGAGGGGGCGGGGAGAAGGGGGTGGTGGTTCGAGAGGAACAACTTATGCCCAAATATTTGCGCTAAAATTATGTTTATATTATTTTAAGTTATCTCTTCTTCTTCTTGTTTTTCGAAATTCCATTTCAAATTTGTTTTTTGCTAATAATCGTAGGCTGCCTTTTCAAAAAGTTCTTTGAGCTCGAAAATTTGTTGGGAAATAATTCTACTTAAAGTTAAATGCATAGCTTAATGTGGGGAGGAGGGATAGTGGGGGAACTTTTGGAGCAGTGTACTAAAAGGTAAAATGGAAATTTGTCATCTTCTTCTTCTTCTTCATCTTTGAGCAGCGAGTTGAATGAGTTTTAGCATAGATTTGGGTTCTGTATATGTTAGTTTTGATTGTGTTTGGATTTATTCATATAATCTTTACGTGTCTTTCGAAGAACATTTTCAAGTCTTTGTGTTTTTCTTTTTTTTTTTTTTTTTTTTTTTTTTTTTTTTTTTTTTTGATTGAACAAACTTAGCTGAAATTATACGAATTAAGTTAGGTATCTGCAACAGATTGTTCAGATAGTCAAAACTTTAGATAAGTTCAAGCAGTTTATTAAGTAGATAATAGTAAGTTTTATATATGTGTGAATTCGATCTAATTAAACGTTTAGAATTAGGCCAAACATAACAGTATTAAAGCATTTCAGCATATTGCATTTCGCTCAGTGTATAGGTCATATATATGTGAGTCATATATGTATGTATATGTGGAGTTATATGTATGTATTGCATGTTATGTAAATATAGACGAGTAAATAGGCATTTGTTTTTGACGAAATTTTGATTTGAATATGGGATGGATTATAAGATAAGTGTTTTTGAAGCCTTTGAAAGTTATGTGGGTCGGGTATACGTGGATATACGTGTATATATATATATCTGAATATGATTGCGGTATATATGTATATATATATATGTGTGTGTAAATATATGTATGTGTGTGTGTTCAGATACGTATGCAAATGTTAGTTGACTGAAGATTACATTTCTTTCTCTATATATATAAGAATAGAGCTGTGTATATATATGTGTGTGTGTGAGTGTGTTATGAAGGTCATCTAATGGGCAGGAATGAGTACAGTTGCTGCAAATTTTTACTAAGAAGGTACAGTACACTTGTATATAGGTTAGTTATAGAGCGGCTGCTATATCATAGAAGCTAACATTAGGCAGGTTCTTGGCGGCTTTATTCCAACTTAATAAATACATATATAGAAATTTCGAATAGGTTTGTTTTTCTAGCTTCGGTATGTTTTGTTTTCTCTTTTCACTTTCATTTTTTGGTCGCATTTTATAAAAATAAAAATTTCGTTTTTCATTTATTTTTGTTGTTTATAATTTTCCTTTTTGGTTTTTCGCTAATAACAAATATTGCACAATTGGAATCTAGAAAATATAATGCGCTTATCAAATTACATATATATATATATATAGCCTAGGCAGATACACATATATAAATCTATATATATGGTTGTATATTAAATGGATTGATTAACATGCAGACACCAAAAGGTAATGCGAAAATTTGAATATCATATGGAATAATCATATGTTTTTTTTTTTTTTATCATATATATATATGGTATATATATATAGGCTTTGGACTAGCTGGATCAACGTGGCGCTGGGCAGAGTTATGAGCTGAGAGAAAGTATCGAAGGGAAGACTTACAATTCGGCTTGTCTGTGTGTGTGTGTGAGTGGAATAGTTGATAGATGTGAAAAGCTTGCTCTATAGTTTAGTTTGTACAGTTTATACAGCAGAGGGAAGACTGAAGTCATACGAAGAAGAATGAGTTACACTCGGAGAAAAAGTCGTGGAAATATAATTGTTGTTTTTTTTTTAAATGCTCCCAAACTTAGCAGATATGATAAAGAAGTCATACGAGTACAGCAGATTGTAAAGGTCTAAACAAGTATTATAATTTTTCCTATATGATATAGTCTTCCAATTATAATAGATAGTTTCTAGCAGTTTGAATAGTTTGAATAGCGCATAGGAATATAAAAACGTATATTTTGTTTGCTAGTTTTTATGATAACTATACGATATAGTAGCCTAATATAAGCAATAGTTTGTCTCAATATCACAAAACTTAATTAGAACTGCAAAGAATCAAGTGGGGAGATGATATCTTGAAATACAAAACAATTTTTAAGCGAGATTCTAGTTTTTCTATCTAAGAAATTTATACGTAATAGTGCAGTTCGAAAAAAATTTTAGCATATTATATCATCTGATTGTTTCTGTGAGATTTCACTTGTCCCAGAATGAATATGTATATAGTTTTCCTAAGAACTAAGTATTTAAGAACAAAAGTTAGTTCAGTGAAGTTTTTGTTTTGAAATTGTTATACTCTCATATAATATTCAATTACGAAATATCCGACTATTTCTCCAAGTGTATAAACCTAAATATTGTGTATATATAATATGTCCAATGCCACGATGTCCATTTAGTTGCATTATAAGCGCAACTTTGCGACTGCTCAGCTAGCTTAAACGTACTCTAATGTATTACAGACATATTCATATACATATATGTGTATATGTGTAATACATACATATACATATATATCGTACATTAACTATATAGTACTCATTAAATTAAAGATTCTCTTATAAGCATTGCTCCTGGTTAGTATCTGGCGCTAAACTAGAATACAATTTGGTTTATCCATTCATCCATCTATCCATCCATCCATCGATTCATCTATCCGTCCGTCTCTTCGTCCATCCGCTGGCCTATAAATTCGTTTCAGTTCTGTGCGGAGCGAGGACACCTGGCGCGGCAGCCACTGCACCGCCGGGCGTGGCCATGCGCACTCGCTCACCCACGCCGGGTCCCATGAGGCGCGTGTGGCGCAACAGACGTGCACCGCTGGGACCGCCAGCTGCACCAGCACCACCACCTCCTGCCGCTGCTGCTGCTGCTGCAGCTGCTCCCTCCGCTCGCATCGACCACTCGTTCTGCTTGAGCAGAAACTGCTTCACATTGTACTCCATCTGGGCGATGTCCACGTGCTGTGTGGTCGTGTGCAGCTCGGCCTGCACGGAGCGCGTCTTGTCCGTGTCATTGGGATAGTATTTGTAGTTGAGTATATCACACGTGGGCTGTTCGGGGCACTGCAGGGCCGGCGAGCCGGACGACGAGCAGCCCTGCGAATCGGCGGGCGTGGCCGCGGCTGGCACCATCGTCGTGGTGTAGGCCACCGGCAGGCCGGATCGCGTGGTGCGCCTGTAGTAGGTGGTGCAGAGCTCCGCCTTCTTGGTGACCACAGTCGCTGCCGCAACGGCCGCCTGGCTGACGGTCGTCGGCTCGGGCAGCGAATTGCTGGTGATGTCTGTCTTGGGCGAGAGGGAGTCCTCCGTGGATTTGCCCGCATCCGCATAGCCATTGGTCAGCTGCTGTGGCGTTGTCTTGTAGCCAGAGTCCACGCTCAGCTTCTCTATGGATATGGAGTCCATGCGATCCAACGTGGAGTACGACGACTGACGCTCCGTGCCCGAATTCGAGTCGCTGGGCAACGTCGGCTGCTGCAGCGCGCGCTGCTCCAGCTGCTGCGTGTTGTGCTGCACCCACTCGGCGACGCGATTCAGCTGCTGGCGCCGCAGCAGGACGCTCTCCTGGTAGTCGATGGCATCGCTCAGGGAGCTCGAGTTGGCCGAGTGCTTGGGCGAGCCAGCCGGAGCAGCAGTGGCAGCAGCAGCTGCAACTTTAGCTGCTGCACCGGCTGCAGCCACTGCACTCAGATTGGCCGGCTCACCGGCTGCTCCACTGGCCAGTGCCTCGGCTGGCAGCACCTGACCCTCCAGCGGGCCGCCCTTTTCAGTCTCTTTTAGCTCCACCTGCGGCTCCAGCACCGGCTGCAGCGCCACATTCTCGTGCGGCATGGCCGAGCCCTGCCAGGCCTCAACCGCTGCCGCCGCATTGCTCTCCTTGGAGGTGATGATGTCCTTGCCATCGCCGAGCTCCTCGTCCAGCAGGCGCTCGCGTCGCTTGTAGATGACCGGCACATGCGTCTCAATCGACTCCAGATTGTCCAGCAGGATGTTGCTCTGCCCGTTCTGCTGTATGCGCATGGCACAGAGGCGCGGACCGCGATACTTGGGATTCTCGGCCTGCAATGGAAGAGGGTTAGATTGGCCATATGATATATAATAGGGTTATCTACCTTAATAGTCTTGATGAGATTCCGATTGAAGGTCTCAAACATTTTGGCGCCCTCGCAGCTGCTGGTCTTGTTGCTCCACAGGCTCTGCACGCTGCCCGAGTTCGTTGACTTTAGCTGGGAGGAGCAGCTGGCAGCAGCAGCTGCTGCTGTCATGGCTGTCCCAGCTGTCCCGGCTGTTCCGGCTGCCACAATGGCCACAGCTGGCTTCACTGGCTGCGGCTCACACACATCCTCGGGCTTGGTGGGCTGTGTGCTTGGCGGCTGCTCGCCCTCCAGCAGGCTCGGCTGTGAAATGCCCGCCAGCAGTGGTTTGCTGACCTCATCCTCCAGCTCCTCAGCCCCCGCCGCCGCAGCTGAGCCGACGCCCTCAAACTTGTTGAGCAGCTGCAGCGCCGTGCCACCGCCATCGAGAAAGCGTCGCTGATATGCCGTAGCCGCAGTCGTGGCATTGCCCTGGCGCAGCTGCCCCAGATTGCTCGACTCCAGCAGATACTTCTCGGCCGCATAGGCGCCCAGATGGGTGGTTGGATACATCAGCGTCGAGGTCGAGGTCGCCGTGCGCTCGCACAGCCTGTGATGGCCTAAGATGGGATTGACCATGAGATCATCCTTCTTGGGCGGCGTAAACAGCTTGTCCATCTCATTCAGATCCGAGACGGAGCTCTTCGTTTCCGATATGACCGAATCGCTGCTCTTCACCAGCTTCATCAGATAGGGACTATTGGTCCTAGAAGGCGAATTCAGATTGCTGTGGCAGCGCAGGCAGAGCTGAGTCAGCGGCTCGTTCAGGCTGCGCTCAGTGTGGGGCGTCTGGGTGGCCACCGTATAGGAACGGGAGACGTCTGCCAGCACGGTCAGATCCTGTTTGCTGCACTGGCAAGTGTCGCAATGCTTCACATCGTTCAATTTCAGCTCATCCTCCAAAAATTTGGCCATCACTGTGGGTGAAATCATGTCTGGATCAGCATTGTTGTTGTTGTTATTGGTCTTGGTTTGACCATTGAGCGTTTGGCTGGAGCTGAATTTCGAGCTGAGCTTGTTGTTGTTGTTGTTGTTATTGTTGATTGTGTCCTTTGTGCTGCTGTTGTTGTTGTTGTTGTTGTTAGTATTATTGTTGTTGTTGTTGTTGCTCTTGGCTGGCGTTGTTTGTGCATTGGCTGAGTTGCCATTAGTGGCGTCTGTTTTTGGGTGAGTCAGAGCAAGAGAAGAAGGGAAAACAATAAGCAATTTAGCAGACAATCAGGTCTAGAGCTGGGGCAGATCATTTGGGCATATGTAAACAGATTTCCTTTTTTTTATTGGCAATATTTGTTTAGAATGAATCAAAGTGGCAGATGGCAGGCAGTAAAGTTGGCTTTAGTAGATGGAGACGACTTCAACTCTGAACAACTGTTCGATTGAGCAAAGCTTTGCTAAGAGGAAATATAACTTAAGTGATGCCTAAGGTCATTGAAGTTACTGTACTATTATTAATCTATTACTGCTTAAAGTAGGCTTACTCAATTGATTGAATACGTGACGAGTACTTGAATCATTATTCCCTCACATACATAACTTACTTTTTTGATGTAATGAGAAACAAACCCTAGAAAGCAGCTTCGAGTGAGTCTGCGAGTTAGTTTTCCAGCTTGTCTATTTATACCTCTAAGTCCTCTCTTTTTGTAGGTCTCTCTCTCTCTCTCTCTCTCTCTATCTCTAATTCACTCTCACTCCCTCTGACTCTCTCTCACTCCAACTCTCTCTCACTCTATCTCTCCTTCACGTTCTATCTAACTCTCTCTCTCTCACTCACACCCTCCCACGGCGCCTCACTCTTTCTAACTCTCACATTCTTTTTCTTCTTCCCTCTCTCTCTCTCTCTCTTTCTTCTTCTCTCTCTCACCCTCCCTCTCCCTCTCGCCATCTTCCATCTCTCTCTCTCTCTTCCTTCTTCTTTCTTTCTCTCTCTATTTCTCTTTCTTCTTCTCTCTCTCTTTCTCACTCTCTCCCTCTCTCTCTCTCTCCCTCATAACCTCATAGTTTTTAGCAGCTAAAGTTCAGCTTTAATCCAACTTTCAAATATATTTTCGCTTTTCACGTATATTACTGAATTATAAGGAATTCAATATTTTCATATAAATACATACACACAGACACACACACAATTCACACATAACACAAGTACATATCACACACACACACTTTCAAATTCCAATTATAGGCTAAGAATTTAATTATAAGCCAAAGCTATGAATGCTTCGATGAAATTTTATTCATTTTAATTAGCCAAGTTTAATAGTGCTGTCAGCCATGATTCAATTGATTTGTTGCATATATATAAATATATACATACAAACACGTATACATACATATCATATCACATATGAATGCATCAATTTTTAAACAATTTCAATTATTCACGCTAAAAGTATTGCCAAAAAAAAAAAAAAAAAATAAAAACTTTGTAGCCATAAAATATGGCATAAATTTGAAAAAAGATATAAAAACAAAGAAAAATAAATGATGACAATTATTTACAATAAATTTGAGCTGCAATTGAAACTAAAACAATAAACTAAGTGAAATAATAAATAGCACAAAAGTTCATCAATAATCTACAATGTAAAAAGGCAACAAAAATGAAATAAAATAAACTAAATAAATGAAAAATGGAAACTGTGAAAATGTTGCTTGTCAATGATTGCTGCAAGTTGAATAAAGTAAATAAAAATATCAACTCCAATCTAGAATATAGATAAATGAAACGAGTTAACGAAATTATGTAAATCATACGAGTGATCAACAAAATCAAAATGGTCTACTAACACTTACCGAGGCCCCGCATCGAGTATACCATGGCCGTGGGCGGGAAGGGGCATGGCGCTGGCGGGGGTGAGTCCGAGACCGGAAGCACTTTATAGGAAGCTGTGGTGGCCACGCCCACACCACTATTGCTGCACTCCGAGTCCGAATGCGAGTTCGTCTCCAGCCGCATATAGGCCGAAACTTTCGACTGAATATCAATTGGCAGCTGAAGCACCAACAAAAATTGAGTTAATCAACCTGGCCAAGCTCCTGGCTAAGTGGGTGAGCGTAACTTACCGAGGACACCTTTTGGGGCACAAAACTGTCCGGCTTGCATTGCAGCAATTGTATGGCAAGACTAATGTCGGCCTTGTAGCGTTCCTGAACGAGGAATGGGTGAGAAAGAGACGGAGAGATTATGTGTGTGAGTCCAAAAGAAGAAGCAAGCAATATATCAAGATAAGAGCGTAACAGGAAGTTGCGGCCTCATCTCTCTCTCTATGTGTGTGTGTGTGCATGTGTGTGTGTGTGTTACCCTTTTGACACTTTTCGTATGCAAATGTCAAATATGTTTGTCGTTCGCTTTTTGTTTGCTCCTTTTTTTACTATTGTGCACTCTACGTACACACACACATGATGCCATGTATTCTACTGTTAAGCCCCTGCCCTTCCAAGTTTCCCGGCCATTTTCCGTTCAGCTTCTTAACACATTGTTAAACAAACTTTTTGCTGTTGCCTTTGTATTTCGGTGTCAGCGACAGCCTCAAAAAGTTTCCCTCTTACTCTCTCGCTCACGCTCTCTGTCTCGCTCTCGCTCCCTCTTTCAGCTTTTGTTTTTTTGTGGCTTACACCAAACTTTAGATGGTTCTTAAATTTTGCAAATGCGCTGCACTCGAACTTGTTAAACAACAGCAACTGCAGCGAGCGACAAACGCACGTTAGCAGGCAAATGGCACTGCTGGCAGTGTTGGACAACGATATGCCACGCACCTTTTACACTTTCGAATTTGTTTGAGATTTTTCTCCTTTTACATTAATTTCATATCATAATTTTGGGATTTTGAGACTTAGCTGTAGATTAGGTAAATAGTCTTTGGACATTATACAACACTATTATAAAAACAAATTAAAATAAATATTAAAAATACTTATTTTTTCCTACTTAATGATTAAGTATTGAATATTTAACTAATTTAATGATAATTTATATTTTTTAACGTTACTCAACACTAGTCGAGCACTTTTTGTATCTAACTTTTTCAGCTTCTCTATCATTGTTATATATTATATATATAAATCTAACTACCTTTTAAGTATGTATATAAAATTTATATATATTTAAGCATTACTCAACACTATTACTACCCAAACTCCATAGCTCATTTTCAGGGCAGTGCGGCTCAGCATCAGTCAACTGCATTCCTTTGACCTACATAGCATTTGTACATCAACAACAACAATAACAACTCAAAGAGACAAAAAGCGTTGAGGCATTTCGCACCACGTTTACCAACACTTACACGCCATGTCACACTACTATTTCAGGTTGCTTTCTTTCGTTTCGTTTTTCCTCATTTTTTTGCAATTCTTGTGCTCCCTTCGGTTTTCCCGTGAATTTTCATGCCGCATAGCTGCAAAATGCCGCCGCTTGCATTTTATGCGCCTCATTTTTACTCCATTTTTCCACTTTTCTGCCGCGAATTGTTTTTTATTCTCTCTTTCAGTCGTTTATCCTGGTATTTTTTATTGTATTCTTTATATATGTATATACATATATGTACATATATATTGTGCGCTTGCAGCGATTTCTGTGCACAAAAAAAAATGCAGAGAAATAAACTCCACCATGGCATAGTGTCATTTGCAGTAATGGGCATGGCATGCCATAGACTCCAACAAATATATATCAATTTGAAGGGTATGGCAAGTGGCATTACATACAGATACAAAGCATATATATGCTGATTTATATAGGTGCATACATATATATAGCGTGAGCTGAAAGGCCAACCAAATTAGCTGCTATAATTGAAAACTGATTGACAGCACACGATATCGTTGCTATTTTAATGCTAGCGATTCCGATTTTAACAATTGAAATAAATCTTTCTTCTTTCATTTTAGTGATATAATCAATTTTATTTCAATCAATGAAAAGATAGTACAGAATTGGCTAAAAAAAAATTTAAGGTATTTATTTTATTTTATTTTATTTTTTTTAAATTTGTTAGACTTGCATTTAAATACATATAATTGAAATTTAAATTGGGTTGAACTCCTTATTCTTTAATTTTAAATGTATAACATAACATACATATGTTAAATGACAGCAAAATCAAGCTGTTAACAACATTTACTCGAAAAACGTTCTCGGCTCTCTTCAATGTCAACACTTACGTTGCGCCACGTAAGGTTTAACAGAGTTGAGCCAGGCTTTATAATGCGCTGAAGTGAGATAACTGAGTACTGTTAAAAAGTCACTCTACGAGCTACTGAGTCTGTTAATACTTATTGCTCTGCAGCTTCTGTAAAGTCAACTGATTAACATAAGCTTGCACTGTAACTTAACATGGACAGTGAATTAAGAGTGTCTTACTTTGTAAACGAGTTTTAGGGCTGCTTTTATATTATTCCATTTGATTTCCCTATATTTACATCGCCCTTAACATCGCATTTAACGGCTGCACTTAAAATTGACCACCTGAACGACCTACTACTACTATTACAGCTACCACTACACCTGACAACCTATTCAATATAGCATGCATGTCCCTATTCCCCAGGTGCAGTATGCAGCTAGTGCCTGTCCCATATCGTATGCACTTTATGGCCGCAAATCTTGGGGCTAGCCTTCAATGGGTAAATTTACAGCTATGCAGCATCGAGCCGAGCAGCTGCCATCAATCCACATTCAGGCTCAATAACATTGAACGTCGCTTGGCGCATGATGCAAATAAATTGTTCAACGTTCTTTGATGAAGTGAACGAGTTGTCTCGCCTGCTCAACCCCTTCCCTCTGCCTGGTTTAAGCTGCGAAAATTCTGCTGGCCCTTTCGACAATTGAGCTAAATTTAAAACGGGCAGCGGACTTGGACAACGAATTGGATCGCTTTTAATTAAACGAAACGTTGTGGCGCAACAAGGGATGCAATGAGGGTTGCATTTCGCCCGCATTTATATGCATATCTAACATTGTGTGATTTTGTGTGTTTGTGTTAGTGTTTTGTGTATTTCTATGAACAAGTAATAAGGATAATTGATTCATTAGCGCGTGTTTCTCGCATTGTATGCATTTAATTTGAATAGCAAAATCCCCTGCAGCTGTTGGCATTTAAAAGACTTTTCTAATCAAACATCATCAATAGCGCATTGATTGCATTGCCAGGGAGAGATAGAATGAGAAAGAGAGAGAGAGAGAGAAGTGATAGAGTTCGCCTGTTTTGCATGTGGCCAAAATTGCAAACAAAAAGCTTAAGGGTTTTTCGCATTCATCGGCCGTTGGTTTGATTGCCTTTTGTGCCGATTCCGGCGTCCTTCACTCTCGCTCTCTCTCTCTTTCTCTATGCCTTCTCTCTATTTCTTTTACTCTGTTTTTTCCACGTTTTTCCAGCTCAACACGATTGCTGTGCAATTTCACGCTTGTTTGCCGACCGACGACCAACTGACCGCAAGCAAAACGTGGAACCACACACGATTGCAGCTAGGGGAAGGTACGTAGTCGAAAGGGTGTAAGGGAGTAAGGGGATTGGGGGCATGGGGAATAGAGGTAGCCCGCGCTTGAAGCTCACTAATAGAATTGCTGACACGCTAGACGACGTTTATGTAGTGTATATGGCGATCACGCGAACTAAATGAGTTTTTAGTGAGTTTGAAGGAGAGATTGTAAAAGCTGAACGGAGAGGGGAATATGGAACTAGATTGGATTTACCTATAAATATATGTGGCACATGTTCCAGTTCCAGTTTTTAATTTATATACAGGATATAAGTAAAATACTGGATAATTTTCATATTATATATATTATTTATACTTTTATATACTCATATTTTTTATATTTTTATTATTTTTTAATGAATTTAAGAAAAACTTTTTTTTTGTTTTTATAAATTCATATAAATATAATGGATTCTAAATTTAAGAAATCATTAAAATAGAGTTTATTTCTAGCCAGCATTTATATCAGAGTAGCGCTCTAACATTTTACAGTTCAAACAATTCTATTACAATTTTCTAATCATTTCCCAATCATTCTACATACAACACACAAATCCTATTTTATGTCCCTCTCTCCAGTCACATTCAGCTGCCCGCATAAACCGAGCTCAGCTTAAGCTTTGAATTGGGACCACATTTAATTGACGTGACATTTGAGTTTATATAGATTACGGACATGTGGCCTACATATTTTCTATTAACGCTCTAGCTGGCATTCTATGTGCCGCAGAGCATTGCCATAGCAATGGAATGGGCACACATTACGTATGCGTAATATTGTGCGCTAATTAGCGTGCGTTTATTTTATTTTATTTTTTTTTTTTTTTGTATGTCCATTTACGTGGCTAAGGTCCTTTAAAGGCCACTCAACCGCAAAATCAAAACCACAAATGCCAACTAAATCATGAGAAAATTAATTTTCTAGCTACAACAAAAGCAACAACAACAACAACAACAACAGCAGCAGCAAAAGCAATTGCATAGCAAATTAAGTTATGCTTGAGCAAGGGATGCAGCTGCAGGCGATTGCTTGTTGCTGGGCGTGCCAGGTGGCCGCGGGGCAGGTGGCAATGGATGGGGTGGGGGATGGGGCTGGCTACTATCTGAATCTAATTAGTCGCTCAAAAGCATTGCTGCCAGCAACTAAGTAAAGCGCAACTGCATGACATTTATGTATATGGCCGCCTGCTGAAATGGCGCTGCCTGCAGGGACTCAGGTTGGCAAATGCTCCAGGCGCTGCGCAATTGTGGAGTCAACAAAATGCTTGCATTATTGTTTAACTGCTGCATTTGATTAACTAATTTATGAGAGAGAGACAGAGAGAGTGGGAGGGAGAGAGTGGGAGAGAGAGGGGAGAGTGAGCACATTCGCTATTTAAATGCTCCTAAGGGCCATACATCAGTTCTGTTGTGGGCCAAATTGCCAATCTGGCTCATAAAGCATTAAGATGTAGTAGAGCGAGCACAACATTGTGTGAACTTGGCTGAATACACTAAGCGCCGCTCAGATCTGACCAAAATTAGCATAAGCATAAACATTAACGAGTGCTCAGGCGCTCTGTGTGTGTGTGGGTGTGCGGGCGCGTGTGTCTGTGTGTGTCAGTGTGTGTGTGTTTGCGTAGGCCAAGTCAAACAGTGCATTAAATACACCCAATTGCGCATACATA